TGCAAGAAACACTTTTTTTTTTTAATAACGAAAGCAGAGAAACAGACGCAAACAGATAATTTGTGGCAAGAGAGCTGCCAAGCATTTTTGTTTGTTTACACAGTTATTTTTCGCAGTGTACTTTCTTTTGCCTTGCTCGTTTTTATCTCGTCCATTTATGGCACTAAAAAATCATCGCTATAATATTACACGTTAGAATCGTCTTTTTGTGGCCGTTAACGAATTTGCAACCAGCTTGTGCTTGTCTTGGAGGCAGAGGCCAACCGTTATTATGGCATTAACTGGAACGCGTGAAAAAAAGCGCCTCCTCGAAGTTCATTTTCAGAAGTTGTTTATGCTAACACTCATAAGGAAAGATGAGTTATCCCGAACCATTATATAATAAACAAATACAGTTGTATCTAACCATGTCGTCAGATAGTAAAAACAAATTTACAGCAATCCCTCTGTTTCTTCCTCTATTCTCATTTGGACAAGAAAAACAAACTAATTAAACGGCCCATTAATTTGTGTCAGAGATGTGCCGAATACCCAACAAAAATATCTAAGATAAGATAATAAATACCCATTTGAAAATGTATTTGCAATATTCAAGTTACGTATGCACTTCTTCCACAAGGAGGTAGCCATCTTGAATGCCGTTACTTCTTGTATGCAATAAACCATCGTTTTGATCTCTCCACGCCGCTGGAAGATGTTTACAAAAAATGCGTGATTGTCACACATTCTTGTTTTGATTCATCTATATTTTCGCGCATATTCCATGTTCAAATGTTTTATTATTTTTTCGTCCCGCATACCAGATACGGAAACCACGTGACTGAGAAGGTCAGGAAACAGAAAACGTCTAGAGTACGAACTGTCTTGACTAGAGTATAAATATTTCAAAAAAGCAATTGAATTATAATCGAAGATACTAGGCAAATTTTACAAACTGGTAATATAAGTATACAAAATGAGAAATGAGCACTCTATTTCTGATGATATCTTTGCAAATCACATTTTGCTGTGATCTTTACGACCTACCAAAATCTCCTTAGCTGCTGCAATGGAAGTTTACTCTAAAATAATCCGGGATCTGCAACAGATTGTGCGCAAGGTTACCAGGTTGGGCTATTATAATAGCCAAATTGGGCTACCTTGTAATGTATTCGGCGTTGAAATTGAACGGTTGGCTATGTAGCTATTTTTGGGCCATTTCAAATTCTAACCTGGCAATTTAGTCTTGCTTAGCATAGGGTAGATGTACAGGGGACACTTTAGTAGGGACACAAAGCGACAGTCCACCTTTTTTTTATTCCCGCTTTCAGAGATTTTCTGCGTGAAGTCGCGTGGGCGTTACGTTAGAACATATTAGCTCCAGTGAGTTACCATGAGATTCAGCTCCGAAGACATCGTTTTTGTATGAATTGTGGCTTATCTTATGCTCCCAAGTTCTTTATCCTTCCTAACAGCGTATCTTAGTTCATGGAAATTCTCACCATCCTTTTCCAAGGAAAAAGGACACTAAAAGCAATTAACTCGTGACATCCAGCAGAATTCCATGTGGTGCGATAACGCGTGCTGTACCAGACATAACAAAGGAGGCTTTTCCGCGAAACACGTGCTTCTTAAAGCACAACCATTCATAACCAAAGACAACAGGTTTAGGAAAATAAATATTCCAAACAAAATCAAGTTCGAAGCGCACGAGCAGCCGTGTTTCCGTTGCTATATCCGAGCTTGCCATAGCGCTCCTGACACTACCCTTGTCAGATGCCGACGTGGAGAGAGTTTTCAGTCACGTGTCCCTCAAAAAGTCAGACCTAAGGAACAGGATGCCCCTTCCAACTCTTTAAAACATCATCTATGTAAAGTTTCCTTTCTCAGAAAAACGAGTGCGGTAAGGACATCAATCCTACTGAAGAACTGTTTGACCGTTTTAACTTGGAAATCATGTATGAGGCGAGTCAGCCGAGCACGAACGAGTGTTGTATAAATATGTGACTGTAAAAACAGATGTCGAATGTGTTTTCTTGCATTTTTTGTTTAAGATAAATCTCAATACATTTCAAGATGTCGGTGATCTTCAAAGATGCTCTTAAACCCTAAGTTTGCAGACGCAGTGCTATCAAATTGAGCTCGCTGATTCGAGCACACGATTTTTTGGGCTCTGAGCAATATATAGCTCGTTTCGGGCTATATAAAGTTCTTGTATTTGGATCATTTTGGGCTAGAACCTTCCTGGTCACCCAGGATGCATGCCGAAATATTCTAGGAACAAACGGGACTCGTGTATTGTAGAAATCGCACCTACCGTGCTTTAGTTTGACGCAGGTTCGGCTCATGGCGCATTCAGCAATATGTTCCTAATATGCCCCGCTACGATTTCGGGGACCTGGGCCCGTTTGCTCGAAGCACTAACCGCGGCTAAAGTGAGCCGCAGTACCTAGGAGAGGGATTTTGAGATCACGTGACTGGCTCGGTAGGGATGCGGGGAAACATGGCGGTGCCCCAGTGAGTGAGCGCCACTCGCTTTGGAACTAATATGTCGTTGTAGCTGCAATATTGGGCCCGTTAGTCAGCAACGAATGGTGCAGGAAGCTTTCGCTTTGCCTCACCTCACTTAAACCGCAAAGCATGGGCAATGACATCGCCGGATTTTTTAGATAGTGTTTTGATTCTGGGCACTCCTAAGCCTAAATGAACGCGATAATTGTCGGCATAGCAACGTCTACGGAAAGCGGATTGTTGATAGCACACAAAAGCAGACGGCGTCCCAACATACCTTTTTTCTAAATTATCCAAGCACCGAGGTGCATGCTACGACTGCAGTTGCACGCGTCGCACGTGCTGGCGTCTGCAGTAGTAACCGTTCTAAAGCAAAAAGTATAAAACAAATTTGCCTTGCACGCGCGTTCGTTAAAGCCTTATTATGATTTTTTACTTCAAATCTTTTATAAGAGGAAGGCCAGCGCGCGTGAACCGTAGAATTACACTTCCAGCGTTCTTCCCGCGATGCTTGAATAATTTAGGAAAAAAGTCTGTCGGGACGCTGTCTGCTTTTGTGTGCTATCAACAATCCGCTTTCTAAAGACGTTGCCATGCCGACAATTATCGCGTTCGTTTAGGCTTAGGAATGCCCAGAATCGAAACACTATCTAAAAAATGCTGCGATGTCATTGCCCATGCTTTGCGGTTTAAGTGAGGTAAGGAAAAGCGAAAGCCTCCTGCATTATTCGTTGCTGACTAACGCGCCCGATATTGCAGCTACAACGACATATTAGTTCCAAATCGACCGGCGCTCACTCACTGGGGCACCGCCATGTTTCCCCGCATCCCTACCGAGCCAGTCACGTGATTTTAAAATCCCTCTCCTAGGTACTGCGGCTAACTTTAGCCGCGGTTAGCGCTTCGAGCAAACGGGCCCTGACCTGTGGCCCGGCATTGCATATCAATAACAGCCGAACTAGGAGTTGATCAGGCAGCCAGACTTGTTTATGAGTACGCCTGTGAGCTACACACGTGCACGCTCAGCAGAAACATCTACTCAAGGACAGCAGCCGGGCCACTCATTAACAACCAAGAGCGAGTACTTTGTCTTCCCCGTCAAAAGCGAGTAAAAGCAACTGTACTTTCAACATGTAAAAAAAGAAGAGAAGAATATGATAGTTCAGTGTGAAACACAGGCAACACAGGAAAGTTTTCACAAGGCCGTTTCTAAACCCCTTTACCCCGCTCCCATCTGCACCCGTTCGAACCACTCTTGACGCACTATAGTCAAGATGGTCAAGGTTCCAGAATCGGAATTCATTATAAAAAATATCAACGACTTTAACTGACGGAAAACTGGTTTTGATGATTTTGAGGACGAAACAATGCGCGTATTTGGAAGGAGAAAGAAACGCTTTTTAACGAACTTCGGAGCAAAAGATAAGCCACAATACGCACACAAGGAGCTTAGGGAAATTTCATTGTAGGTCACCGCGGCTCTATAAAGCCAGCAGGATCTAGCTTTTTTTGCCGAGGGAGTGCCTGTGCTGGCATGGAAACGTGTTTGCGCATTTTTATACTGCAACCCCTTGAACCTGCGATTACCGAAAATGGTTCATTCTTAGCGCACCGAGGGTTGGCTTCACATTCCTCACCTGACGGAACCACTCTAGCTCCAGACAAAAGGTGGGGTCTGAGTGTAAAATCCGGATGACGTCGCCGGCGCTTTTCGAGCTCCAAGCATGTCGTGTCGTTCAAAAACAGATCAAACAAACAAAAAAAAAAAAAAGAACGAAAAGTGGACAATAAGACAAGTGGACACACAAAGGCGGGCGTACTTGAGGATATCTTCTTGGTCTTTTGTTCGCATTTCGAGGCTGCGTTTAGCTCGTGCCTAGTTTCCTGTTGCGTGTTGGGTCGCACGTCTCTAAGTTTGCAATCGGTCCACCTTTGCTCTGAAGTCTAATGGTTTTTAGTTTCCGAGACTGTTTCGTCGAGATTTTTTTACAAGTTTGCTAAATGTACTTGAGATGGTGAGCACAAGACAGTGAAAAAGTTAATTAAGATTGAGCAGCAAATACTCTAGACTAAATGTATTTGCAAGATACCAAATTACTACCAAACGTTCTTGAAGTAAAGTATCTTGAGTAGAATGTTTAAGATAGGCAAAAGTCTGATTTGTCCCCACATGCAACTCCATTCCAGACGCTCACCTTCATGGGCCGCAATGAGCTCCACATGCCAGTACTTTGGATTATACTTGTCTAGCTCTTTCTACGTTATATCGTAAATTGAGGACAGGTTCCAGTAGGCCCCTTAGCGGCGCTGCGCCTATCGTCGTATTCGTACGTTACTGTGTATCAACTACCTGACATGTGTATATTGATGGCGCACTGCGGCCATGAATACACAAATGTCACGTAGTGAAAATATCACAGATGTTTTTAACGTAAGAAAATTAACTAAGTCAAAAGTCAATAAACCAGCAATTAGTTAGAAGTATCTTTATTTCTTCTTTTTTTGTAGAGTGCGCATTTATTTTCACAATTCGCAGCGCTGTGTACTTCTACTGAGAGAGGCGGCAGGGATGCGAACTTTCGTCTTGGTCGAACAATGGTGTGGCGGTTGACTTAATGTCGATGGTGTAGAAGGTGCTCCCGTTCGAAGTGCGAGTGGAACTCATATGTCGCATTTCACGTCTTTGCAGCTGATTCCTTCTTGACTGGTCATACACCTGAAAGAAAAGTCAGGAAATAATTGTTTGTTTTCGCCGTCAGTCCGTCGCGTTTCCTGATTTGGTATGTTACGCTATGACCCTCGGCACTTGCATTGTAGCCACATATACCGACTATTGCGCACATAACATCTTTCCTGTGAACATAAAGTAATGAAAATTAAATAATATTTTAAATATAAGGTAGCAACAATGTACGTGGTATCACATAAATTTCCTATCATCCATTAGGGCAAATTTCCAAATTAACAAAAAAATATTGCATATGAAATGCGCAGCGCCGAATCATTGAAAGTACCACGTCCACGAACTAATTACTGGTTTCTGATGAATCAGCACACACTTCCAACAGTATTGATTTTTTCAAAGAACAGGGTGTCTGCATTGAAAATTTAAATAAGAAGACTGTGTGAAATCTTATCCTCCTAATAACATATTTTCCGGTGTGGTGCATAAATGTACTTTTTCTGTATCAAATAATGCAATTATATCCCGCTAACCGATGTGCCCGTAGGGGGCAGGGGCCTCGTGAAGCTGCACTTCTGCAGCTTTTAGGGGCGAAGCTCCTTAGGGTTGTGCCTTGTCCGTCCGGCGTCCGTGCTCACATCGATCTTGCTGGTGCTCGTGAGCTCACGTGCTCACGTGCTCGTGTAGGGCAAAAAAAAAACAATAAAAAAAATGCTTGCTCAGTCCACAGGATTCGAACCTGTGCGGGTAGACCCTAATGGATTTCTAGTCTATCGCCTTCACCACTCGGCCATGACTGCGGGACGAGTAGGGGGCTCTGAGATGTGGTAGTAACTCAAGAGCTGGGGATGTCATGGATGAAACGTTGCATGTAGCCGCTCAACGTCTATACAGGAGAGGGCGCTGCGGTCAAATGCGTATATAATCGCATTAAACTTTGCATGCATTGGCTCAACGTTTATAAATGACAGGGCGGTGCAGTCAAATGCTCAAATGCGTATATAACCACGTTCTATACCACACATTCTCTTTCTGACATGAGCGAAAACGAACGAAAGGCTCGGCATGCTGCAGCTCAGCGTCTACGCAGACAAGCACCACCAGAGCTTCACCCCAATCAACATCATTCACCACGTGGAGATGCGGTCAATTTTTCTCCTGCCTCCCCATTTTTTTTTTTATGGGAGAAAATAAAATGATTTGCATTGAATATAGATTTTCTTCCTAAACACGCATATTAGATGAGATGAACAGTTTTCTATATTACATTGCACGGGGTTGTGACTGTGTACAAGAAGGGTTTGTTGTCGCAATATCCATTCCAGCAATCCGGGTGCAGTTCGGCCCATTGTAGCACAGTTCTTTGAGCCAGAATTCGGTTTCATCTGACATTTTATGTCGTTAGAACGCCAGAAGAAGCCAAGGTACAACGAAACTTGACAGCCATTGGCAATGGTCAGGGTTCAGCGGCCCTAATTTATAAAATAAAGGCCGAAGGTATTATTCACTGCAAGTAGCTTGGCTGTCTGCTGGCATTCCTGGGCTTAGATTGCGAAAAAAGTGCCATAATTAGGTTGCACTGCTGCTTCTTTGGTGCATATGTGGCATCTTTGGCTCAAGTCTGGTACTTTGGCAATTCTGTGGCTATCCAGAGGAAAGTAAAAAAAACAAAAAAAACACTCAAACAACCCTTACGAAAATGGCAGATCTGGACTTATATAAAAAAAGACAAATATGGATATATAAAAAATTGGGCAGATCTGGCCATATCAAGCACATCAGTTTATATAAGCCTTATATAGCCAGATCTGCCCAATTTTTTATATAACCATATCGGGGTCTGCCAAATAGGGGTATATCTGCCTCCCATATCAGGGTGTTTTTTGTTTTTTTTTCTATTCTTGCAGATTTGTTCTTAAAAAATTCAGGAAAGCTGCACTTATGTGGTTTCTGCGGGTGAGTTATACGCCAAGGGGGATATACGTGGGCGCTAAGCTGTGCGATTACTCGGCTAATGAATTAAAATTCACTAATGAACTTTTCAATTAGTGAAAATAAACATACGGTTCCAATAAGCAGCTAGTGGGGCGTCGTCCAAAATCCCTAAATCAGTCATTTTCAGAAAGTCTTTCAGCGCGTGAGAAGCGCGCTAAAGGTACCACTCGTGAAGCCGGTACAAGGCTAGCGGTTTCGGTAAGGCGCCCCGCAATTTTTCTGTCTCTTATCTAGCCCAGCCTTGTACCTGGTCCACGAGTGGTAACTTCAGCGCACTACTGCGCTTCACACGCGCTCAGTCTTTCTAAAAATTACTGGTTTAGGGGTTTTGGACGACACTCAGCAAGTTTCTAATTGAAACCATATGTCTATTTTCACTAATTAAAAGTTAATTAATGAATTTTAATTAATTACCCGACTTATCGGAAAGATTAGCAGACTACATAACGTCCCCCTGGGCGTATCACTCTCGCACAAACCGCATAAGTGCAGCGTTCACGGCTTCTTTTTAAACAAATCTGCAAGAACAAAAAAAAACAACATAAAAAAACGGTATTTATGCTGGTAGTTGACTCTTCGACCCTCCACAGCGGAAGCAATGGTAAACTGTGCTGCGCTCGGCTGTAGCAATTACCCGGTATCGCGACGATCGTTTCGTCGGCATGAACCGCGAGACAGAGTGTCCGTCAAGTTAGAGAAAGTACAAGCGGGAGGAGAGGGATACGCCCGCGGATGACCGACTTAGCGGCACGCATCTCATAGCGGCGAGCAACGGCACTTTTCTACCGTTGTTTACGTTCGCGCACGCCTTTGCATCCGTTTTTGCCCATGTGTGGAGTAGATGTCCTGTGCCTATCGTTACATAACGCCGATAACGGCGATCGGTCGGCGGCGGCCCCGTGTGCAAGTTCGCCGAGACGCCGCCGTCAGGGGATCGGTTTGTGCCGTCCGCGAGACAGTAACCCTTGCAAGGAGCGAAAGTATCTTGGCATGCCGGTTAGGAAACATCATAATATAAAGCCTGAGTCAATGAGAGTTGTCCGTTATTTGATTTATTCTCATCCCAGGGTTTAGATTAGGACGGTAACTTAGCATTGTTTACCAGTATTTCGCAAAATCGTCACAATCTTTCTACAAGCGACTCGTAAAGCCACTCGTCAAATTTTGGAACCCGTAATTAAGAGTCTCTGTTTCTGTTCTTTTTCGGCGACACGTCAAAACTTTGTCGGCGGCATATCAAAACTTTCTGCTTGCAGCGCAATCGCACTAATGCCGGAACATTCTGCACCATGATTCTCCCGGCTGCCAGGAGATAGACACGGCCTAAATCTAGAGGTAACCTGGAAGAATACATTTAGGAAAAACGATCTATTGTCACGAAGTAGGTTGCAGCGCACTTACGTTGACGAGACGAAGGTGTTATCCAAGGGAGATGTCGACACGGCCACGGCAAAACCACCACTCGAACAAAGAAACGCGAAGGTGCCCTTGAAGATTCAACACGATGTAGCACAAGCTGTCGTTTGTAGAACCGAACACTAAACAGATCACAAAACATTCTTGGGCTTCTTTGAAGAAATCGCTTGCAGAACCAGACATACGCAGCAGCCACAGATGGAGAATTCACACGCCAAACTAGGTCCGGCTAAACGCATTCCGAGATCGGGAACGGCTAATGCGTCATCCCTCAAACCACGTGACCACTCAACTTTTACAACGCTTTCAGCTTAGGGAGAGAGAGAGGAGGATCAAGGGAGAGGCCAAAACGGGGTTTCACGAACAAAAGGCTTATCTTACGGGGCCGCAACGAGGGGATGTGTCACTTGTAACGAAGGTTGACAGTGCTGTGAATGCTAAGTGTGGCCTTGGGCGCCAGGCAGGTGCGATGTCCTGCTTTGTCACCAGATTCTGGACTGTAGTCACGTGACCCTAACCGGAGACATGATTGGCCTAAAACACGCGTAGCATCTACCCTGCTGTCAATATCGAGTGAACATAGAGCTCTACGATGTCCAGCTTTTGAACTCAAAACGATGCGAGTTTTACGCTGTATAGCCCACATTATAATTTTAAATAAAAAATAAACGCGACTATTTTTTTGTGCATGAGGTCGACAAAGAAATAAATATGTATACATATATATATGTTTACCAATAAATTTAAAATCATGTGTACACTGTTTCAAAGTTTTTTACGAACGAGTTACAAATAAAAGACACCACGGACAGCACATCTTCCGACTTTCAACACACGATGAATCGCCGACGCTCGCAAACGAACGGATACGATGCTGCGCAAACGGTTTTGAAAGAGTTGCATTTTGTACCCCGGGCGCAACGGCTTCCGTTCGAAGGGAAAAGGATTCGGGACGGCGAAGTAGCGTCTAGCATCTTGAGTAAGCTAACGGTTCGTGTTTACCTGCTCAATTTAGCGGGGAAATATGAAAAAAAAAAATTTGTTTCACTGCCAGATTTCGCGGCAAAATTGACGTCACGTGACTAACGTACCAATTCAATTTTTCGCTAAATTTAACGGGGCGGTTACACCGATGGCGACGCCAACACCGCTTAATTCGGAAGGGTGCCTAAGAGCTGCGACTAAAATCCATTGTTTGATTAAGTCGCGTTACGATCGCACTACGTCATATTGGCACACATCAAACATACAACCAAATTTCATTTGTCTTTCAATCTTAAAATTGAGCAATTGATTAATTGGTCCAAATACCTGGAATAACTTCACTTTAAGGATGTTAACAATAGTTAACCAATTGCATGAGACTCATGCAATATAAATCAATCAACTAGTGTCTCAGCGAGTACATATAACTTGTTGCTTCCACAACTGAAACGGGCCCGTATATCATTATCTGGGGCTATATTTGCCCGCGTATATGGTGATATATGCCTGTATTTACGCACTTATACGGCCAGATCTGGCAGTATTTGCCCACCTATATGTCGAAATACGGCCGTATTAGTTCCCATATCTGGCGAAATACAGCCCTATTTGACTGCTTATACTATCATATCTGGCCGTATATAAAATATATCAGGGCCATATCTGACATTTTCGTACGGGAAGTAATCTGGAACCAACGATTTGCTCGAATGGTTCTGTCTTAGTTCCTTAGAGCCTAGCAGAAGCCAAATAAAACGTTGGTGACAGATTACTGTTTTGAGTTTTGCTTTCTCCAAGGCTCCAAAGTTTTGCCTACTCCAAAACTAAACAGTGTTTTGACTTGAAGCAAAATCGTGTGAGGCCTAACTTAGGCCCTTAGGATTTCCAAGCTTCTGCCAAGTTCGCAGTTTCTCTGACGCGGTACCAAAGGCAGAAGGATGCACAGTAAGCCGCCTTTTAGTACGCCTGCTGTGAGAGTAGAAAAAATACTCGCATAAAGACGCCGTTTACGTCGCTTCTTGCTAATAATATACTGTTTAACTGCATACTACAAATGCGCTAAATTTTATAACAGGCCTTTCAAGCGCCGATGACTGAAAGCGGAAGTTAGGAAGCATAGACGTCTGGAAGAATAGTGTCATGGATGATCTCAAACTTCCTTATTTAGTGAATAGAAATGAAATGTGATAAATGATATTGTTAGATACAGCAGGTTATTCAACTAAAAGTGTGAAATAATTTATTCGCACTTTTTGTTCTAAAAACCAGGTTTTCATCTTATTCATTCACACGAAAAAATAATTCGTAAAATAATTGGTAGTTCTAGTATTAAGGAACCTTAACCAGTGTACGCTTGCGGTAAAATGCTAAGATCCCAACAGAAATTCCAAAGAAGTAATTTACAATCATGTTCGTAGCGCACTTACTGGAAATTCCTTTTAATTTCACACCTGTTTGATTTAGAATGTTTTAAGCGGCTGACGCTCTTCTCATGTGTTAGTTTTATAATCTGAGTTTTTGTTGGTTACAGTCGAAGAAACGGCTAGAAAAGGGTTGTGCCCGTGACCAGCCATTAGCCCAACTCCTTTAAACACAAAAATTAAATAATTGTGCTCTTTCATATTTCATGCCCTGTTGTCTTCCCAGAAGACCCAGCGATCTCGCTGTTCCTTACTGCTGTCACAAATAAGCAGGCGCCCTGTATTTAGACAGTGATATAATTTGATATTTCCTATAGATTTGAGAGTTGATATAAATTCCACACTTTCTGGAGATATTGGAACACATAGCGGCCAAACACCGAAGCTGTGGAGACAAATATAGCGATGTCTTGCTGGAACCGACATTGGGCGGAATGGGCGGCATATAAATAATATGTCCATCAAATATAAGAAAAAAAAGAAAGACGTTTACAAATATCTCTAATGCGAAATTAGAGTGCAGCTCTTGAGAACGAGGAGGGGAGATGACGAAGGGGAGTGTATTCCTCTCCTCCTCCTCCCCTTGTTTCCTCCTTCTCCACCTCCTCTCCTCCCCTCCTTCTCCTCCAGCTAAATTTAGCTAGAAAATTGATGCCACGTAACCTCAAACAGCAATTTCATTTCCCCGCTAAATTTAGAGGGTTAAAATGCCGTCACATGACTTCGTGTCACGTCGCCTATAAACGAATTCAGTTTCTCCGCTAGTTTTAGCAGAAAAATTGCCGTTACGTGCGGTCAACAGCAATTCAATTCCCCGCTAAAATTTAGCGGGGAATTTAATTGCTGTTGAGGTCTTCTGAAGTCAATGTCCCGCGAAATTTAGAAAGGAAAGGAATTGGTGTTGAGGCCAGGTGACCTCAATTTACCCGCTAAATTTAGCGAGAAATTGAATGTGTTGATGCCACGTGACGCCGATTTTCCCGTTAAATTTAGCGTTACACCGAAGGCGAGGCAAAAGAGTGAAACACCGAAACGGGCGTCTAAGAACTGCGCTCTAAATATTATTTACATTATAAGCAGAGTTACATCAATTTGAATAGTGCAGTTAATGCAAAATTATAGTAAGAGGTCTGTCCTTCAGTCTCATACAATGGTCAGCTGGGAGAGTGAACAAGAATATACAGAAACAACAAATACACGCGCAGTCTAAAGTGAGACTTACAATTCAAATACTTAAACTAAAAGTTCAGGGGATACTTAAACCAAATGTGATTTAGAATTCAAATACTTCAACAAAAACTATGCACGCATATATTGAAAAGTTGGACCCTCAAGATCAACAATATTAAAGGAAAACTTATTTAACAGACGAAAGAGAAAGTAAAATTAGGCATAAGAGAGCCATATGTTTGTACTGAGTGTCCCTGGTTCACTCTTTGTGGGACGAATGACTTGCAGACGTGGTCACCAATTCTAATTTAACGACGCAAGCTAAAACAAAAATTAGCAGCAACATAATTTTTTTATCTTAAATTTAGGGAAGAGTCTAAAGTGATAAAGCTTGTTAACCTCAATTGTTCCGAGATCTTAAATAATTCAGCTCTACGCAAGTCAGGACAAATCAGATACACATTTCAAAATTTTCTGCAACATAAATGGTTCCTTATCTTTTTATATTGTCCATCTTTATGTATCCCATAAAATATACTATTAGCTTAAATTTAAAAAAAACTACATAATTATAAAGGAACAATCAAAATTTCTGGACAAAACTGAGTGGTACCAATTCATGGTCCCTACAATTGAAGCTATATTTAAAATATTATTTTTCTATTGCTATCTCATGAAATTTTTATACTAAGATGTACTCCAAGAGTTTTAAAACTGTCTGTCTCAGTTTGGTACGAATTCATACTTAGAGGTGTAGAGTACGATTAACACCTTTGTGTGACAGAATCCTTTTCGTTTTAATTTTTGAACTTTGATTTTTTAATTATTTTTTATCACCCGAGCATTTTACTTAAGTAAAATTCTCGGGTAATAAAAAGCCCGGGTGTCCCCGAAAAAAAACACCAAAAAACACACACACGCAGGATCCACTTAAAAAAAATGATGGCTTATAAGGTCTGCACACCGATATTAATAAAACGGTTCCCAGCAAAACCGTATTTTGAACCTATCGAAAAATTCAATAATATACCTGCCCAGCTGTAAAAAATAATATAGAATGAATGTGCTTAATAAACAGAAGAAAACAAATAACATTATATGAGAACTTATGTAAGACTAATATGTGCCTTATATAAGTTATATTAGTTCTCAGATGTTTATAAAACTAATCACACATTTTTTTTTTTTTACGTGAAACATTTTTTGGTTAGTTTCTCCTAATTTCGTGAAGCCGGGATGAGTGAAGCCGTGGCCTCTAACTTCACACTTCAGTTTCCCCGCTAGATTTATACGTAAAATCGGCATTAGGTGACCTCAACACCAATTCAGTTTCTTCGCTAAATTTAGCGAGGGAAATATTGTCTCATGGCTTCATGTCACTTGTCATATACACAAATTCAGTTTCCCCGCTATATTTAGCAAAAAAATCGATGTCACGTAACACGATGCTATGCTAGAATTAGCGGGAAACTAGAATTTGTCTGTAGATCACGGTTTCCCGTGATCTACAGACAAATTAAGTTTATACGCTAAATTTAGTCGGAAACTTGACACTTGACCGGCCGCAGAGCGTCATTCTCCATACTCCGTGGACACAGACTCAGAGTATGTCTAAACGTTTGTGATGCGAATACCTTTCACGTATCTACACAATTGCCTAGCAATTTGCCACACAATCATTTTCTTTTGTGAATAGGATTTAAGTTTTGACTCCCGGTCTGCGGGCGTATCTGTGGCGTCTTGGAGAGCTTTGCTTACATATATGTAAGCAAAGCTCAAAAGAGGTACCACAAAAAGCTCCCTATAGGAAGCTTTTTTGGTACTTCTTGTGCGGACTTCCGGCCCCTCTTTTGTGCTTGTGCGGACTTCCGCCCCGCCAAATTTAGCGGTTAAACATACGTTGTGGGGCCAGAATTCTCACGCCGTGGGGGAGGGAGGGGGAAGGGGAGGAGGGAGGGGATAGCTGGATAAGGTATCATACATTAATAGTTGTACACGTTCAAGTAAAACACCTTCGTAATTCTAGTTTTAGGTGAGCATGTTACCTCAATGCCATCTTCCCCTCCTCGTAGGCAGCGTATGACTATGGCGGCATGTCCATTATCTTGGTTACTGCCATCGTATGATCCACCGGGACCCAAGAAGTTGGCAACAGCCGTCATCGAGGGTATGCTGTCACAATGGTCCCTCACCTGTAAAGAAAACAAATGCATTTGGTGGTTAAACCGACCGCGTCGAGATCGAAGGTACCCTGAGTGCACAGATGGGCCTTGATGGTACTGACAGGCCCATGTTACACAATTATTTCTGACAAAATTTTGTTTTGGTGTAGAATTTTAGGGTGGACGCAAAAAAACAAATTTTATTTTCGAAGAAGCAAAGGTTGAGCCAAACGTGAACTTCTTTGGCCATAGTCTGTGTATCGTGGCCCTAATGCGTGAAACAAGTGCCAAAGTTTGGCTTCACTTCTTGCTGTTGAGTTGTCAACTGGACCAGAAAGGCATGATTCTGTTGATGGGCATCGTCCATAAATAAACAAAATAAGCAGTATCATGCAATCCTCTCCTAAGATCAAGCGTACTTGCAAGTACTCCAGGCTCCCATGCTTGAGTCGTGTAGCTTCTCAAACGCTCAACCTTGCGTTCTCCGTTCACGGTGACAGTCCTTTCGCAGAGTTCTTTCACGACGCTGGTGCATTCCTTATTGTCCCCTTCGTTCAAACACCATCCGATTCCGCTAGGGGGTGTGTTGCATTCAAACGGGACTCCCCTCCTGCATTCGCCCAGGTCTGTCCAAAAGGATTAAGAAAACCTATCAGGCTTTTTTTTTTTTTTTTACAGCGAAGTTGTCTATGGTTTGGTTCAGGCGGATCGTCTGCGGCGACAGACCGAGCCAGCGTAGACCAACAATTTTCAAACGCAACGATGTATGCCCCACTTTATACTGCTCTCCACAATTGCCGCCTCCTTCCCGAGTCGTGTATGCTCATCGCCACGCGCGGCGTCTCTCTCCCCCTTAACATTGCGCAATGCCGCGCGCTCTTCGGCGGCTACCTGTGCGGCGCACTAGAGCCTGAGCCGTGATTAGCGTAGTCGCGCCATAATAAAACGTCACTGTGTCTGCCTCCCAATCGTGTGTGTCCTTTGTCTGTGATGTAAAGATCGCGCCACTGTCCTGATCAGTTGAACTTCAGACTTCACATGGCTCACACTCGTGTTGTACGCTCGAAAGAGGAGCAGCGAGAGTACGAGGAGCGTCGGCGCGCCCAAAAGCGAGAATGGACCCGCCGCCAACGTGAAACCGCCGTTGCCGCTGCTCCCAGCCCGGCAACAACTTCGAGTGCCGACCAAGTTCCCCCCGACAAAGACCTCGCCCGCGTCGAGCGCCGACGAGAGCAAAAGTGCCAATTCAACCGGCGCCGTCGGGCTAATGCCACCGACGATGATCAAGCAAGGAAAGCCAAACGCAAGCGCGACGCATATCACCGCGGCGCCAAACCATAACATAGCAAATCCTTAATATAGCTCAACCCCAACATAGCAAATCCTACCAGAGCGCCAGCTTCGCTGGACTTCCTTCTTCACGGGGTTGAAGGGCTCTCAATTTTTAGAGCGCAGCTCTTAGGGGCCCGTTTCCGGCTTGAGCGGCGTCGCCGTCGCCGTCGCCGTCGGCGTCGCCGTCGGCGTAACCGCGCGGTGCATCATGGGAAATGTCCCATAATGCACCGCGCGAGCCCCCCCACCGGGGTCACGTGACTCCCCTGAGGTCACGTGACCCCCTCCTCAAGGTCACGTGACCCCCTCCTCGAGGTCACGTGACCCCCCGAAGTCACGTGACCCCCGCCGATGTCGCGTGACCCCCCGATGACGTCATCGTCACTGATGACGTCACCGGCATCCACATCGTCATCGTCATCATCACTGATGACGTCACCAGCATCCACATCGTCATCGTCATCATCACTGATGACGTCACCGGCATCCACATCGTCATCGTCATCATCACAGATGACGTCACCGGCATCCGCATCGTCATCGTTATCATTACTGATGACGTCACCGGCATCCACATCGTCATCGTCATCATCACTGATGACGTCACCGGCATCCCCATCGTCATCGTCATCATCACTGATGACGTCACCGGCATCCACATCGTCATCGTCATCATCACTGATGACGTCACCGGCATCCGCATCGTCATCGTCATCATCACTGATGACGTCACCGGCATCCGCATCGTCATCGTCATCATCACTGATGACGTCACCGGCATCCCCATCGTCATCGTCATCATCACTGATGTCACCGGCATCCACATCGTCATCGTCATCATCACTGATGACGTCACCGGCATCCACATTGTCATCGTCATCATCACTGATGACGTCACCGGCATCCACATCGTCATCGTCATCATCACTGACGACGTCACCGGCATCCGCATCGTCATCGTCATCATCACTGATGACGTCATCAGTGACGTCACTGATGTCGTCACCGGCATCCGCATCGTCATCGTCATCATCACTGATGACGTCATCAGCGACGTCACTGATGACGTCACCGACATTCGCATCGTCATCGTCATCATCACTGGTGAAGCCATCAGTGACGTCACTAATGACGTCATCGGTACCCGCATCGTCATCGTCACGGATGACGTCATCAGTGACGTCAGTGATGACATCATCGGCATTGGGGGTCACGTGACCCCCAAGGTCACGTGACCCCCAAGGTCACGTGACCCCCCCCCCCTGGTTAGTTTACCCCCCCCCCCCGTGCCCTTCCCGCCTCCTCCTCAAGAGCTGCGCTCTAATTCGGCGTTACAGGGAGTTGTAAGCGGCTTTCATTTTTTTAGAGCGCAGCTCTTAGGGGCCCGTTTCCGGCTTGAGCGGCGTCGCCGTCGGTGTCGGCGTAACCGCGCGGTGCATCATGGGAAATGTCCCATAATGCACCGCGCGAGCCCCCCACCAAGGTCACGTGACCTCGTGGGGGGTCACGTGACCCCCCGAAGTCACGTGGCCCCCTCCTCGAGGTCACGTGACCCCCGCCGATGTCGCGTGACCCCCCGATGACGTCATCGTCACTGATGACGTCACCGGCATCCACATCGTCATCGTCATCATCACTGATGACGTCACCGGCATCCACATCGTCATCGTCATCATTACTGATGACGTCACCAGCATCCACATCGTCATCGTCATCACTGATGACGTCACCGGCCTCCGCATCGTCATCGTCATCATCACTGATGACGTCACCGGCATCCACATCGTCATCGTCATCATCACTGATGACGTCACCGGCATCCACATCGTCATCGTCATCATCACTGATGACGTCACCGGCATCCGCATCGTCATCGTCATCATCCCTGATGACGTCACCGGCATCCACATCGTCATCGTCATCATCACTGATGACGTCACCGGCATCCACATCGTCATCGTCATCATCACTGATGACGTCACCGGCATCCACATCGTCATCGTCATCATCACTGATGACGTCACCGACATCCGCATTGTCATCGTCATCATCACTGATGACGTCATCAGTGACGTCACTGATGTCGTCACCGGCATCCGCATCGTCATCGTCATCATCACTGATGACGTAATCAGCGACGTCACTGCTGACGTCACCGACATTCGCATCGTCATCGTCATCATCACTGGTGAAGTCATCAGTGACGTCACTAATGACGTCATCGGTACCCGCATCGTCATCGTCACTGATGACGTCATCAGTGACGTCAGTGATGACATCATCGGCATTGGGGGTCACGTGACCCCCAAGGTAACGTGACCCCCCCCCTGGTTAGTTTAACCCCCCCCCCCCCAGTGCCCTTCCCTCCTCCTCCTCAAGAGCTGCGCTCTAATTCGGCGTTACAGGGAGTTGTAAGCGGCTTTCATTTTTTTTTTTATTCGCATAAATGTTTTTATATATATATATATATATAAGTGCTGACCATTATATGCATACTGTCTTTCCAGCATGTTTGTCTGGTTTTGCGGACACCATAAGGGGAAACAACTATGTCTAGTACGACCCATTGTTTTATTTTTATATTAGATGGGTACATATTTAATTACATTGTTCATCGGTCATGCTGCAGTTTTAGTTATGACGCAGACACTATTCGAAGATAAACCAACAGACCTGTTGCAAGGCGCACAGAGTAGTCAGCGGCGTCGAAAGGAATGTCGGGAACGGTAGGGCTCTTTGTAGGAAGTGCACGCCGAGAAACTGAAGTACCTTCTCTCTTTTCTTCTCTCCTCGGTGTCACGTGCTATTGTCACTGACAGCGTAAGCAACGTAGGGTGCGGCATAGTTCGATAATACGTCGTTTTTGTGATTCGTTCTTCGACGTTGTCATCCTCTGATGGCGCGTTTGTACCGGCTGCGGAGCTATAAGCGCCCTGCGTTTCTTTACAGCGTGTACACTAACTCTTCGAACATATTTTAGACGGTCTGCGAAAATCGGTTTCTCAATGTTGCTCTGTGATCTGCTGCAGACCTGCGGCTAGGTGGTGAAAGCTTGAAGTTAAATTATCAAAAGATGAACTTAGCCCGTCGAAGTAATAAAAGAGAAAAACCCGCTCGGGGCGATCTGCGGTAGCATTCGCAGACGATAAAATGACCCTTCTCACTTAGTTGTATCTGTCGCCGACAGATGTCGGAAGCGTTGTGGGCGCGTTAGAGCCGTAGATAGAGGAATTCGTTCGGCGATGTATTGCCCTCGGTGACCTCTCACCGTACCCTGGCTCTTCCCACGGGAGTGACGTCGCGCTTAGTATCTATCTAGCAAGGTAGAACGCCGCACCAACGACGCGCGCCTGTCCGCCATTACCGATCCTGCACCCTACGCGAGCGCATGCCAAGCGGTTTGTTATTCTCTATAGCGACCTTAGTATTTTAAGATTTGCGTTTAAAAATGGTCGGTGTTTGTGCGTTTGATGTTTTAAGCACAGCCGTCAAATGTTCGTTTTTATATGACCCCGTAGTAAATAGAAAAAAACAAAACGTCAAGATATATAAACGAAGATCAAGTGCACGTCTACGGCAGGCTCTCGAATTTCGTAGTCCACTGGGATTTCGTAGACCACACCCAATGTGCAGTCCACAGTAGGTGTGGTCTACGAAATCCCACTGAGTTGTGGAAAGGTATACATTGGCCAGACGGGCCCCGGTGCATCAATGACCCAGCACGGGAGCACGCATTATCAGTAAAAAATAAATATGGCTCGCATTTGCCTATACATTGCAACACGTGTGGCTGTGTTCCGCGACTTCAGCAGATACGGATACTAGGAAGAAGCCGAGAGACGGTCGCTCGAGAGCTATTGGAAGCTTTCTTTATAAAAAAAAGTGGGACGGCATGTGTCAGCGACACTTCTATCGTTCTTCATTGTAATGAATTTCAGTTTTTGAGTGATCGGGTGAAAAATTAATAAAGTTTTACGTGGTCAAAGCTGTATGTTGGGCTAGTTGGTATTGGTCTTGGGTTGCCAAAGGCATGGTAGCGCTTTTTTGGACGAGGACAAAAGAAAGAGAGACAAGACAGACACGAGTGCTGCGTGGTGCTGCTTTGCCTGTCGTGTGTATATATGTGTTCAATTTTCCTGAATAAAACTAGTTTAAAGTTAGCGCCTGTCCTGTATACTTCTTGTACTTGTCTTTCTGTTGCGCTATTTTATATGTTTTACTAAGATGAACCAACTATCCCAATAACGTACCCTACTATTCTGAGCACTACGAACGGCCAATCAATTAAATGTAAATAACTTAAAAACAAGCTAGGTTACTGTTCCCGAGTAGTTGCCTAACGCCGAGTCGCTGGAAGTTTGTTTCGTAACTCTCCGTCTTGCCTAACTCGTCCTCTGTCTTAACGCCTTCCAATTTAACAGATGATTTTACAGAAAAACATATGTTGCTGCCATGGTCACAAAGATAGGTTCTCCTTTGCTAACCTTTTTGTGGGTTTCGTTGAAAAGTCCCTCTTCGACAAACTCCTCCTTCTTCTTCCCGACTTCTACGGACGCTATATCAATAAAATCTTCGGATACCCCCCCCCCCCCCCCCCCCCGCACGCGGTCAATTCTTTCTTTCCACAACTAGAAAACGCGCAAACTTTTCTAAAATTCACCTCCTCAAATTCTACTTCCGCTACCTTTCTTGATCTCACCATCTCTATCGTGAACAACCGCTTTAACGCGTCTGATCATTACAAGCCTACCGACTCGCCACAGCTACCTTCACTACTCTTCTTGCAACACCAAACGCCACATCGACTCCAAACCGTTTCCACAATTTCCCCGCATCCGACGCCTTTGCAGTGACTATACCGAGTTTTATATTCAGGCCATCTCTACGTCCACATGTTTTTCCAAAGTGGGGATGTCCTCGCCCAAATCTTGACAAGGTATTAGACCGCGTTTTCCACATCTCTCATTACGATGACCTTTCCTCTCCACCCAGTCCTCCAAAAAACCATCAGCCCTCTTCTCCTAAAATACCATTCTTCTCTCCCTAGACACAAACGTCAGCTTCTCTCCGCCACTGGCCACCTTCACCCTTCTTAACACCTTTCTAAAGCCGCGACTGTCGCCTACCGCCGCCCCTCATATCTCCGATCTCACTTGGTGCAACTCCGTTTACCATCCGCCGTTCCTAAATTCACCACAAAACAACCACCCGCAACCAAAGCATGTGCAACGCTCCTAGATGTCTTACCTGCAAACAAGTCGCTCCTACTTTCTGCGCCGCATACCCCAATACTTTTTATATTGGCGAGAGCGATCGCAAGCTCCATTAACGTTTCCGCGAGCACCCTCGCCTTGTCGCTCTGAAGCTCACTAATAAACTAGAACCTAACCTCTCCACGCACGTTTCAAATCACTTCTTCAAAAATAAACAGAGTAAACTCAATATGCCCAGCTGCGTCATCAAATATGGTTTCATTTAATCCCGCTGTCGCAAAAAAATAAAAAAATAACGCCGTTCGATTTTTAATCTCTGCAATAAATTCCCAAACGGCTTCAACAATGAACTAATCTTAGGCTACTATACTGTTTTCTCTGAAGTTGACCCCCTTTTCCCATTTCCTTCGTTCCCCCGACCTGCCATGTCTCTATCAGTCTTGACCCTCACGTTAACTCTTCCCGACCTTCGTCTCCACATACCCTTCGAAGCTAGTAAGCGTGCCGGCACAGCCAAGACCAGCCGGATCTGTCACTTGTCCCTGCGTCAGAGTAGCTACCGTGACATCACATAGTGGGAGCGAGGGCCTTAAATTTTCAGAAAGTTTTTTGCAGGGAAGTTCGCATTATGTCTTTTTCTGGAGCTTAGAACCCGTCGAGTGTTTGCTTAGCACTACACCAGCGCACAGTTGAGACTCTATGCTTAAAACTGCCAAACCTAAAACCTGCTTGAGGTTCTGCGGGTCAAAGCGATAACAAACATTGAATACGCAGTAACGTGGGTTAGAAAAAAAAACAAAAACAATGGAGCGTGCAAAAAGTTATGGAGTTAGAAACTTCTGGATAACTTAAGTACGCACCTGTTACCAGCCCAAGCAGGAGAGCACAGACGATGTGGTGAGTTCGCATCTCCATTACAACGGCGTCTGAAACAGACAACTTAACTAGATATTTTACGTAAACTGATACGTAGAAAAAATCAAAATTGTTTTAAAATAAGTAGATCAGACTTGCTTTATTAAAGTCAGATTAATTTGATTTAAATCACTGTAGCCATGACGTAGTGAATTTTAATTACGGTGTATTTTTAAACATTATAGATTGATTGATCTTTCTGTTCGATCACTCAAAACCACGCGGAGAAATAGTGTAAAGTTAAAGTACGGTTTAATGAACAGCTTTTATTGAGTACACCGGCCAAACTTGAAACGAGACAGTTTTATAAAATAGGTTATGAAATTTTTTTTTTTTTTGTGTTCTGATATTATTGCAATAGGCCATTAAGTAACCAACGAACAGAGTGAACTGTAGAAAGAAATCTCAATGTTCCGATTTGCTCAATCCACTGCTTTGTGTTTGTTTTCAGCCCGATATAAAGCTTTCTTACGTGATGATTCCTTAATTGAAACACGAAGCAAATGCACACAAAGAACATCAAATAACAAACACACAATAATTGAAAAAAAAGTATTCTGCTTAGTTTTGCGGATAAAGTTTGATTTAAAGAATTTGAGTGCATGAGCAAATATTGTATTTGTGCAGGCGAGCTGGTGAATATTAACCATGTTGGATTCAGGAGGTGGATTGAATAAACAAGTTAGCTGAGTTTGAAACGTCGTCCGGTCTATTTTCTGTCTCTTCTACGCTTTGATGTTTCTTCTCTACCCGAGTCTTAAGTTAACCCAGCATGGTTATCTCAGTAAGACCGGTCTGGTTTAAATCACAATTTAAATCATAATTTAAGTCACAACCTAAATCATCTAGGTTTTTATTCTCTATCTTGCTTGAGACGTATGTAGCTTTGTTGTGCAAGTAATTTCGCGGTCCTTAGATACTTAAACTACTTACTCGTGCGTAATGTTTGGCGGTTACCGCCCTAGTAAACTTGCCACCATAAACTGCGATGATCAATGTAAAAGAAAATAGACTCTTCCAGAGGTTGGGATTTTTTAATAGTTGGCACTTTTTAAATGAATAAGAAGCACCCTTCATGTGACCTTTTGGTCTCAAGCCTAGACGTCGTTCCCAGTCGTCTATCTTTTCGACAAGCCCGTGGGGTAGTATGAAGAAGTAGACGAATCCAGCGACCTTACTGGCTCTATTCTTTTCAAACCTACGTCTATAGTTTAAGCTTTCCGGACAATTCGATTGGTTGACTCCGAACCTCGGCAGCATATCTTTAATGCTTCAGTGTATTTTAGAAAAAAAAAAAATGAATAGCGTAATGAAACATATTTCAGGCCAGGCAATCCGAGGATTATGGCAATATTCTGCCTATTATCATTAATACTCAAAAAATAGATCAAGCGTTCGGTCCATGCGCGATGGCGCTATAACTCTAGTTGTCAGAACTAAGGTGGCATTGCACGAGCCGGCACACGTGCAGAGCTCCCGCGGGGTTCTCGCACGTGCAGAAAGACTAAAGTTCCCTCTATGCGTTGCGCAGCGGCGGCGTAGTCAAACCGGCTTGTGCGACCGGCATAAGCAGGGAAGGTTGGACCACTTGTTTATTAGCGGCAACTGCCAAGATCTCGCTCACCTGGCACTTCTACATCAAACCCATTGCCAAACTTGCAAACACGGAACAGATTAATTTCTCGCATGATTATATGGTACAGTTTTATGGAACCTTCGAAGTCCGCTTCGCAAATGGCGCCACGTACTACTAAATGAAGAAATTACAATTGTGTTGATTCACGCAGTTAGAATTGAAACAATTTCACCGACAGGTAACGATTAATTTAAACCGGACAAAACACAATATTATTATGCTTTCTTTTTTTTTTTTTTTTTGCTACTAACGTGATCTGTGAGTTGCAGTGTTTTGCGGTTTTTCATCATAACTTTAAATCCACTTGATTATCCGATTGTGCATTGTGAATATAGTCTACAATCCCAAGGCATCCGAATTGCGTATAAATATTATAAATAAATCACGAGTAAATTTTATTTATAGAGAGGTTTTATGTATAAACGATCATGGCATCAGTTATGAAAACTTGCAATTGTCGCTACTCGTTTTTAACCAACTCTGACGATGTATCTACTATTATTAAACACCATGCTGCTTGATTGCCTAAATTATTTCTTCCATGAAACTAATTTTCATGGAAGGTTTAGATCTTCTTTACAACCAAGAGAAAATAATGAAAAAAAAATAATGTTGTAAACACCTAATTAAAGTTATGTAGAGATTCAAACAACAGCATATCAATCAACCAGATTGAGCGCACCAGTTCTGCTTGTTTAAGTTAGATTTTTGTTTTTTGTGTAGGAGCGAACAATCAGTTTAGCAAACTTCGATGAACGTAAAACTATAATTAATTAGCATGTATATATTATTATAATGCACTCCGCTGTTTATTTACTTAAATTTTATCTCCAATTTAATTTAACTTATATGCTTTGAATGGCGGTTTCACACAGAAGAAGGCCAAACCGTTCGTAGAAACGCAGCATAATTCCGTTTGAATGTTTTGTCTTGAAGTGTAAATAGCAGCTTGAGGAAGTGAAGTACTTGAAGCTAAAACCGAAATTTTTGGTATGACTTTCCTGTAACATAATGAATCAAGCCCCGATCTCCTGCGGTCCCAAATATTATTAACACCCGAAAGAAAAGAAAGTGGCGCAGTGCGACCTTCTTTTCTCATGTACGACGCAAACTGTCTCTAAGCCAGGAACAAGTGACATACCTTCAGCGAGTGTGAATTCTTCGGCCTTCCACTGTCACTGTGCGCTATTTAAAGCCCCATGAACCAGGAGGGGAAGCGAGAAGCCTGTTTTTCAGCTTCCCCTGATACCAAATCTAATCATATCACAAACGTCCGACCTCTCGAGTGAAACACAACAGCAGTAAAAAAGTATATTTATTATTATTTTTTTTTTGGGGGGGGGGGGGGTGAGATGGTGCTGGGAAAAGAACAACAAACACAAAGCAATCTAAACGTGAATCTCTTCTTGTTCTGTAATTGAAGAATGCTGCATCTCTCTTGAACTCAGAGTCACCAGTTTAATTTCACGGAGTGGTGCAATAAGGCAGCCGAATAAATTGCGCAGAAGTTTCAAACTTTTGTCTTTAAAAATACGCTTCTGTTGATACCGCTCTACTGCCTGCGCCTCAAATAGAGCTAATAAAATTAGTCTATATTCTGGTGCATTAAAGAAACAATAGGTAACCACTCACTGTGAAATAGCTTCCTTTCTTTGTAAAATTAGCGTGAGTGCGCGAGCATAGCTTTGATAGGCGCTGAAGATGTGCGAGACTAGAGATCCCGAAAATTCATTTTATGGGTGGCAGACTTCGTTACAAATTTTTTTTGTATTATGTCTTATGTGCCACCACATTATAACCAATTGGTTGTTCTGAGGCACGAATCAAATAAAGCATTATTATTATTATTATTTATCGTTATTATTATATTATTACAGTGTAACGCTTCGGAAGAGAGCGTTATATCGAAAACAAAAAGTTCAGTGGTATTTTGAAAATGATTTCCTGCAGCTTTCGCGCAACAAACGTGCAAACAAAACACGACATTTATGGCCCTGGAGGCAAATTGAGGACGAATTAAGCGTTTCTACACACACACAGAGCCACTTCAGCTTGTTTTTTTTTTTTTTTTTTTTTTTTTAAAGCAGCACTCAAGTAATCATCACATGAAAAAAAAAAGTAGTCTTTGAATTTAGCGTTGTGATTTATATTTATTTTTTTTCCATAAAAACAAGATTGGCATAAAGAGGGACTCTAATCCAGAAGTATCGAACATGTGGCTCGAGACACAGATCAGGCGGTTGTGAAGCTCCTTTCTCCTCTCTCGAGTGCTACGTGCTTCTGAAACTAGTGTCTCTTGTCGTCGGTAAATATACGCCCAAGATGTAACTTTGCTCGTATAACGTACCCACATGCATCTTTTTTTTTTTTTAATTACGTTTTATTCTGAGCTAAATGTTTTTTTTCTTGATTTTTTGCTCGTCACCATCTTTTTCTTTTGTTACTCAACTGTACGACAATCCCACAACTACTTGTCTACAAGCGCGAGGTCTTTAGCATGCAGATTGATCGCAAAACGTTTTGCTCATCAGGAACAGCTTTCAAATCTAATGCTCCGAGTTGGGGTTTCTAGCAGCCAGGAAGTACCATGAAAACACAAGGGTTGCTTTATAATGCTGTTCTGCTAAAGGATTCACTGCCGGCCATAGGCTGTGCGCTCTGTGGCTAAGCGCATACGAATAGCGAACGTTCCCCAGATGCTTTTTGCACCGTCAGAACTGTTATTCATGGCAGACGATTAGTTTGCTTTATCCACACCTTGCGTTGACGACGTCATGTGAATGCTCCATATTAAAATTGTCAGCAAGCAAGGACTGTCGTATGAAGAGTGCTTTCGAGGCACGTTAAACTTGATTAATTCCAGAGAACATTGAGCGACACGGACAGCAGTGTGCTTGCTCCATTTTTATATTAAAAATTCAAGCACGTTCGCAGTTGGATGTCATTTTAGATCTTGTTATAACATCAGGGACGGACCCAAAGCAGTTTTAAAAAAATCAAAGCTAATAGTGTCACCACTAAAACAGCGAGCTGGAAAAATCAGAGAGCACGAAAAGTTATTTCTCAAAGAAATTTCAAATGTGCTGCTGAAAGACTCGCCTATTTTGAACGTGAAAACAACTGCAGATTTTTTCGTTTTCCAGGAATTACCTTTTTTTCTTTTTTACCCCGGACCCGGCGTCGGTTCTCGACTTTCGGGGGTGAACTGTCTGGCCCTCACACCCGAATAAGTTTGAGACCTTGTGTAGCTAGCAGACAAGGCCTGCAACTTTCGTCATCAATGTCACCACTAGATGGAGAGATAGACAAATTAATACAACTGAAAGTAGATATCAAGTAAACATACTCTTCGTGTCTCGACGAA